ACTAGTTAGCCATAGAAGCCAGGCAGTGATGGCACACAACTTTAATCCAAGACAAAGGCAGATGGATCTCTCTGAGTTCAAGGCCACCCAGGGATACATGAGATTGAATCAGTCTAAAAGAGTAATAGAGCTCATGCCTTTAATCCCAGGTCTCAAGACAGGTATTTAGGACAGGAACAGGGACTCATCTGTGGTTCATTCTCCAGTCACATTGAGGATAGGCAGCAGTCCGAGGCTTGGTGAGAGCTTGTGGAGACAGGATCAGCCCTTTCAACCTGAGGCAGAGAAAGGCAAGAGTCTGGTAGCTTGTCTGCTTTGCTTTTCTGATCTTCAGCTTGAAGCTTGAGCCCTATTATCAATCTCTGGGTCTTAGTTTTCGTGTTACACTTAGGCTTCACATTCATGTAATTTATTGCTAAGGAAAGAGAAAAGGCAAAAGGTCACTACAAAATGGAGCAGAGTAGATCTTTTTGTAAACATGGAGGGATTTTTGTAATTCATTGGGTTCAAAGAGTTTGTAAGTACAGACAGTAATACACAGAAACAGGTTAAATTTGGTAAGGGTTGTTTAAACTGTAGCATCAGCAAGCATCTGGATAGTGTGCTCTCCCATGAACCAGGGATAACACTGACAATGAGTTTGCTCATCTGGCCTGCAAATATTAACTTGGAGGATAGTCCCCAGAGTTCTTTGTTACCAAAGGAGAAATCAGGCAGCAGAAGGCGGCCTTAATGTCATACATGCTATCCACATTGTGTTCTTTCTTTTTATTGGTGGTGGTTGTTTTTGTTTTGAGACAAGGCTTTTCAATAAGCCCCACCTGTCCTGAACTCCAGGAGATGAGGCTGACTTCAAAGTCGGAGATCTCTTATCTGCCTCCCAGATTAAAGTGTGCCACCTAGCTCACATCATGTTCTAATAGCATGTATGGAACTGGCCTTCTATCTTCTAAGGAGGAAAGAAGGACTTTATTTTTAGAACATTTCTGGTGTGATGTGGAAAAACAAATACAGATGGGATATTGGTAAGGAAGGATAGAAACAACAGCATTGTTACACTAGTTCTACTGAGACTGTCTTAGAGCTCCAGTTAAAAGGAAAGCAGAAACACTAGCTAGTTGGGAATTTGGAAGAGGTAAAATAACAGTCTATGAAGAATTTAAATAGGTTCAGATGATGGTTAAGTGCTTCCAGTGGGATGTTAGAATATATTTGTTACTTTACTGTTGGTATGGTTAAACAGTGTCCAAAAGTGGTTTGTGGAAGAGTTTAGAGATCCAGAGGACTGAGTCCACAATGGTGGGTGATCATGGGAGCAAGCTACAAGTATGGCAGCAGTGGCAAGAAGTGGCAAGAAGCTGAAAGATCACATTTTTTTTTTCTTTTTTTTTTTTTTTTTTTATTATAGTGCTCTGCCTGCATGTATGCCTGCAGGCCAGAAGAGGGCACCAGGTCTCATTGCAGATGGTTGTGAGCCACCATGTTATTGCTGGGAATTGAACTCAGGACCTGTGAGAGAGCAGCCAGTGCTCTTAACAGCTGAGCTGTCTCTCCACTCAGTAAAAGATCACATTCTTGACTGCAGGCAAGAAGCAGAATGAGCTGGCAGTAGGGTGAGGCTCTAAATTCAACAGAGCTGTACCCTAATGAGATATTCCAACAAGGTAACACTACCTTCCAAAGCTGTCCCAGAAACAAGTAGGGATCAAGTATTCAAATATCTATGGGGGACATTTATTTCTTCCTTCACCACCATAGGGAGATAAATATAAGAGAATTTTCCTTCAAAGAGTATGGCTTACATGGCAGCATGCAATCAAGAAGAATGCAAGCATGGCCAGGTACTGAGGAAGGGTTGATGAGGGAAATGCATGAGGTTTAAATTTTGGTAGTGGATGACATGCAAAGTGTCTGTTGAAAAAGTATGTTTTGTAAAAGCCAGGAGTGATGGTGAGTACCGGAAACCTTAGCAGATGGAGGCAGGGTTAGGAATTGAAGACCACCAGCCTTCTCTGTACATAATATTTGTGAGGCCAGCTTCAACTATATGCAACTTTTATCAGATTTTTTTTAAAAAGCCATGTGAGCCCAAATTGGATTTTTGCTGAAATTTTCTTTCTTTTTCTGTAAAGTGATAACATTGGAAAATTTATAATTACACATTAAAGATATAAAAGGTACAATATTTTAAACCTCAGAAGCAAACCATATAATGTAGTAGTCTTTCCAATTTAATTTCCACAGGTAGCTAATTCAGTGATTTTTTCTGCATTAATTAATGCTGTTTGTGTAAGATGTGCAATGTGTGTCAGTGTGAGTATGAGGACAGCCTACAGGAGTCTGTTACCTCCTACCACCATATGGCTTCTGGGGAATCAAACTTGGGTTATCAGGCTTGGCAGCAAGAGGTGTTACACACTGAGCCATGACTGGCCTTAATTCAGCAGTTTCTTCCAGGTATTTGTCTGGATTTACATAACATTTTTTATTCATTAATTCATAAGTTATTAAAATGGGAGATTTTCATGTGCTTTAATTTTCAACAATAGACTGTGTGCATGCTGGTGCTAGTAGAGGCAGAAGAGGATACATGTACCCTGGATCTGGAATTGGTCAGGGTATCATAAATCATTCATGGAGATGGTCATGAGCCAGCAAGTGGGTGCTGCGAAGTGAACCCAGATTCCCTGCAACAGTATCAATTTCTCTGAACTGCTGACCTATCTGCCCAACTTAAAAGTATTAACCATGTTTATTTTTTCTGTTAATTTTCTATTCTATTTGATCATTTCATTCTTTTATTATATGAATATACATATTAAAATGCTTGGGTTGTGATATATGTTGTCAGTGTTTTCTAAACTGTATGGGTTGCCTTTTGTGTGTGTGAGGTAAAGTCTCACTACATGACCTTGACTAGCCTGGAACTTTCTGTGTAGACATATACAGGGTGTATGGTAAGTGCCAGTTCCCAGAGTACACCTCATCCCTGGCCCTGTTTGCCAGTCTGTGGCTGTTTTTGAAAGCCTGACATGATCCTGGCTTGTTAAGGGACAAAAATGCTCACATCCCATCATCAGCACCCATGGAACATCTCCAATCCAGTCCAGCCTTCAACCAGAGAATAACTTCTGAAAATTTTTACAAATAACATGGTCTTTTTTTTTTTTGATAAATTTTGATAAATTTAAATCCATAACATGTTCACTGGGGTTTTAAAAAATATAAATATCACTCAAGAAACAGAAGACAAGTTGCCATGAGACTATCCTAGACTATCCTAGAAAGGTTCCTGTTGGGAACCTTCACTTATGACACCTCAACAATATTTCTCTTAAAACAAGACCTGACCAAATATAACACCAATAGACATGCTAACAACGTTGAAAGGCAGAAACCTCACAGAGGTCTGCCCATAGACTGCAAGACTGCAAGGAATGTTGAGAGAGGGAAAAACAGTTCTCCCTGTAACATGAAAAATAAAAACCCAGAGATAGATATTGGGGTCCAAACTGAAGACCAGAGAAACAAAGCAGCCAGCCACCAAAGAGCTCTTACCTCAGATGAAAGGGTTGTCCTGTCCTCAGTGTGATAGGAGAGTAATTCTCTCATGAGACCATTTGATTCTTCCCTTTATCCCTCCTTAGTGCTGGAATTAAAAGTGTGTGATACCAAGTTCTGATATCACATTTTTGTGAGCTATTTCTCTTTAGCTCAGTGTGACCTTGAACTAACAGATCCATCTGCTTGTCTCTTGAGGCCTGGGATTAAAGGTGTGTGCCACTACTGCCTGGCTCTATGTCTAGCTAGTATGGCTGCTTGGATTAAAGGTATGTATTACTATTGTGGCTAGCTTTGCTTTTTTGTACCTTCAGACAAGTTTTAATAAATCATAAATAATATATCACCACATTCCTAGTGATCAAGCCCCAGCTGGTTATCCAATGGCCTGAAATCATACATACAAGTAATACTAAACAGACTGAGAAAATTCTATTTATATATTTAAGTGTGTGTGTGTGAGAGAGACCATAACAAAAGACAAAAGAGGCTATGATTTTTAGAGGGAGTGGGGAGTGGGGATAAATGAGAAGGATTGGAAGAAGAAATTGGGAGAAAGTGATGTCACACTTTAATTTTAAAAATTTATCCAATCTCCTAAATTTGAAAGATACAACATCTTACAGCACAAACAAGTATTGAAGTGGATTTAAAGTCATTTCTTCATATAAAATACTTCCATGCTGGGTCTTGTCTGCATTTTTGGGCTATGCATGGGGAGGTTAGGAAGTACAAGCTACTGGTTTGATCCCATTCTGTCTCAAGTAGTACCCTTTCCATAGCCAAGGAGAGAATGATTTCATGTTTCTATACAGTAGCATTAGCAAAATGGTTATTCCATCTCACATTTGGTCTAGAATCATTATGTACATTGATGAATGTTGAATAGCAATAAGTTGCTATCCTGTTGACGACTTCTGAATTCTAAATGGATATCAATAGTTAACTCAGTTACTTTGTTTTGTGAAGCTGCAGGAATATGCTATGTGTGTGTCTAATCCACCATTTCCCATCTCTTAACCTTGTAGAAAATAACATCAAGATTGGTCACTGTGGTGGTTTGAATAAGAATGTCCCCTATAGGCTTGTATAGTTCAATGCTTCATCACCAGGGTAGCACTACTTGAAAGGATTAGAAGGCTTAGGAGAAGAGGACTTGTCAGGATAGATGTGGCCTTGTTGAAGGACCTATGTCACTGGGGGTGGGCTTCGAGGTTCACTGTCTCTGCCTCTGTATCAGGTCATAGCTCTCAGCCACTGCTCGAGCACCTACCTACATGCTACCTTGGTCCCTACCATGATGGTAATGGACTAAACCTCTGAAACTGTAAGCCAGCCCCAATTATGTTTGCTCATAATTGTTGCCTTGGTCATGTGTCTCTTCACAGCAGTAGAACAATGAATAGACAGTCACCCAGGTAAATTATATATGTTTCCAGTTTTTAATGTCTTTTTATTCTTAAGTAAATCTATCTGATTAACTTGTTTTTCTATGTGATTTATGTTTTTCATTCTTTTTATTTGTGGATACTGTTACAATTGTGAATTTCAGATTTTTTAACATTACATTTCTTTACTGACTCAGTAGTTAAATTTGCATATTATTTAAGGTGTGTATGTATATAGTAAAATGTTTACTGAAGTTAAACCCATTGACATGTCTATGATCTTTTTTAATTTAAGTAATATTTTTAAAATGATAAAAAAATCTCAAAGTAATGAATTAGAGGATTTTTTTGGTTGGCAGGCTTAGTGACTGCTTCTGTTTCACTAGGTGTTATAGGTCCTCATAAATTATCTTATCCTTGATTTAACTTTGGTAAGTGATACCTGTTGAGAAAATTATCCATTTCTTTTAGATTTTCCAAATTTTGTGGAGTACATGTTTTTTAAAGCATGTCCTTATGATTCTCTGAATTTCCCTAAGTGTCTTATGTTCCCCTTTTTGCTTCTGTTTTTGTTAATTTGGATATTCTCTCTCTGTCCTTTGGTTAATTTGGATAAGAGTTTGTCTATTTTGTTGATTTTCTTTTGTCTGTCATTAACTTAAGAACTAGAATTATGTCTGGTAAATTAAGACAGTGTAACTTGTAACTTACAGCAGTTCTTTAAAGACTGTTTATTTTTATTTTATGTGTGTGAGTGTTTTTTGCCTGCATGTGCGTGCAATGGTTGAAGGAGTCAGAAGAGCATATCAGATATTGTGGAGTTACTGATGGTTGTGAGCCATCTATGAGTATTAGAGATAAACTCAGATATGCTACAAGAACAAGAAATGCTCTTAACATCGTGGAACCATCTCTCCAACACCACTGAAATACATTTTAAGAGGCACTAATATAGTTTGATGGTTACTTTTTCCTACTGGCTTCCATTTTGGCCAAAAGTATTCCTAACATATATTCAGATATTAAAACTTTATGAATAATATTATGATTTGATGAGTCAAGGAGAGAAAAATTGTCTTGTCACAGGATGGAGGAGTGTTCCATCACAGCCTCCTTGCTGTGGCATACTGGAGGAGGTCTGTGTGTCTGTCCTCCCCACTTCAGTTACTCCCTTTTTTTCTTCTTTCCAGCTTTAGCAAACTTCTGGCAACAAAAGAGACAGCACTTCGTGACTAGGAAGATCACAGTCACCACACAGGCAAGCAGGAATCCAAGCACGTCCAGAGAGTGGTACTGGAACCAGGTGAGGTCGTGTGCTGCAACACGGAGGTGCTTGGCCCCTTTGTTGCGCATGACATACTCAACCCAGAAGACAGCTCTGTCCAGGGGCTTCACTGGCTGATCATGGTGAATTCTTGACAGCCGCATGGCATTCTCCTTATAGCTAAAGATAGATGTAAAGGAAAAGCATGAAAACATCAACATTAAATGTCAACCAATTTACTGAAGAGCATCAGGCCTATGAAAGGTCAGAGAAAGCATAATGAGACCAAATCATGTCATAGAAGACCAGTGGGAGGGGTATGGTTTGGGGTGGGGCATGTTTGAAAGTTAGCCTGTAAACTGGTATTCTCTGAGAAGTCCTTTTAAAAAATTCAATGGAAATTATTTTGAGAAGTAAATCTTTTCAGGATATGGTTGTTATTAAGCCAATCTAACTACGGTGAGATAGTCAAATGCAGTGTGATCAATCATGTTGATGTTTTTGAGGACTGACTGCTATGAAAAAAAATACTACTGATTAAAAACAGATAAATGGTGAGAAAGATACATGTTTTTTAAAGGATGATATAAGTACTGGGGTGTAGCTCGAAGATAGCTTGCCTAAAATACCCAACAGTGTGAATTTAACCCCTGGCACTGCAAACAAAGAAACACACAAATACAAAACCCAAACATTGCCTGCTAGGCATGCAGAAAAATTATAATTAAAAAAATACATTTGTATGTGGTATGTGTGTGTGTGTCCACATGTGCATACATGTACACAGTACATGTGTGGAAGTGAGAAGACAGCTTGTAAGGGTGTTCACTTCCTCCACCACGTGAATTCCAGGGATGAAACTCAAGCTGTTAGGACTGGTGGAAAGAAACTTTACCCACTCACCCATCTGTTGATGCTAGAAAGTGGAAATCTTACTGAGATTGGTTAGAGTGTAATATTGTATGGATACTATGAAAAAACAGATTCCTGAATATACTGAAAACAAGAAATGCCCCAGGTTGAACTTTACTACCACTAGGAGTCTATTTAAAGAAACAGTAATATATCAAATAGACACCTGCAAGCCATGGCCATTACAGCCATAACAGCTAAGTGGATTGATTGAGGTAGCCATCGTCAGATGATGGATGAAAAAGAGGTATTAAAACACTGAATACAGTCTTTATTATTATATTATAAAAATAATAAAATGTAATAATACATAATATTCAGCCATTGCAAAGAAGGAAATGTGCAGTAACAAGAAGTAATTGGAGAATATTTTATTAAGTCATACAAACCAGACCCTGAAGGAAAATACTGCATGTTCTCATGACTGTGTGGAAACTACCAGAGCTGATTTCATAGAAGTAGAGGGTAGAACAGTGGTAACTGGAGTCTGGGAAGGAAAGGAGGGAAGGGGCTAGAGAGAGGTGAGCTGACAGATACATCCTGCCATGGATAGCAGGACAGTGCACTACAATAGAGGCAGTGACTATGAGTCACAATGTCCATGCCTAATAAGAAGTGGAAGAGCAACAGTGTAACAAATGAAATAATAAAGTTTAAAGAGTTGGAAATGTGAGTATCCTGATTTTGCTTTACATACTGTAAATTATATTTATTGAATTTATTGAATTAAATTTATTGAATATTATATATTCAATAAAAGTGAATTGTTTAACAACAGGAGTTTCAGAAACCTCAGGCATTGAGTTGATACAGCTTCCGTCTTTCAGATTCCCTATTCTATTTGTTGATTTTATTATCTTTGTGGAAATTGTGTCCTTTCATTTAGCAAGAGAAAAAGGTTTCCAGTGTCAACTAATACTAAAATAAAAGTTCTTGTACAGTAAATGCATGGGGTAGTTTGTAGTCTTTGACAGTAAAACTTCATTCAACAGTGGTTAACAGTATATTTCTTCAAATTAGAATAAATATTGGGTAAAATCAACAGTTATTGTTGAGGAAATTTACCTTGAACACTACAAATTGAAAATCACTGTACTCACGAAGGGTCAGTGGTGACTGTCTTCACTGCACTGAGCAAATCTGCACTGGACATTGTGAGAAAGTCCAGTCTAACGCCCGCTCCTTTAGTCTTCATGTGAACAATGTTATCAAATTGGTCTCCAAACAAAGGGATGCCAACCACTGGGACCCCATGGTAGATGGCCTCGTAGATGCCATTGGTGCCACCATGAGTTATAAACGCTCTGGTTTTAGGATGACCTAGCAAGGGGAGAAATTAAGGGCCACTGTTAATCATAAGTCTGAGAAAGAAAATGAGAGTCAGGGGAAAAGGCTCAGAAAGGGCAGATATTGTCTGACAATATTATCATAAGCATGGCAGTGCACTGAATCCTTCTATTGTCTCAGAGGAAGAATACCTGTAAGTCTGTGAGGACTATTGAAGGCCACATAGGGGAGGTGGGGTGTGGAAGTAGAGTGATTTTCTGAAATGGACAAAAGGGAAGAGCTCCTCCATAGTGGAGCAAACAGTGTGTGCAAGCCCAGGCAGTGATTCAGCAGAGTGTGTTCTCCCAAAGAAAGTGAAGCCACTGCTTGTGATAGGTTGCCTCCACGTAGTAGGGAGATGGTTGCTCATATGGATGGAATGAGACTTAGGACAAGCAATACTTCATCAAATATAGGACTGCCTTATGATGTGTTTTGCAGAGGATAGTAAATGAAGAGTCATCAATGTGAGATTCTCATTTTCAATGGCATCTGAAATTGTCTACCCTTGGGGAAATGTAGATATAAGGGTGAACAAGAACATGAACAAGTGGCTTAAATGTATCTGGAAAATAATTACAGCAGAGATACAGATTCTCCCATCTCTACTGTCAATGTACAGCATATTCTTATCAGTTCTTCATTCATTTTATCCAGGACTAGATCACAGTTGCCATAAATGCATTAGTGTTGACAGTCATCCTCCTCATGTCTCAGGTTCTCCTGATGCTTACCCAGAAGGTCATTCTGGGGGATCCATTTGTACAGCCGAGTGTTGGAGCCCAAGGTATCTGGCTTCTTGCCTTCAAATCTCCAAAGAACCTGTTAAGATGAAGCTGGCCTCTTATTCCTTTGGTCAAATGTCAAGTTACTCCTGCTAGAATTCTGGATAGATTAAGAAACAATGGAGATAAATACGCAGTCTCTAAGAGCCAGGCAGTATGGATGGATGGTGGAAACCATGAAGAATGCTATAGCAAGATGCAAGTGCTCTCCACTCTCCTGCGCTTGTTCTCATGTTCATCTAAGTTTCAGCATGCCAGCTTCACAATTACTCACAGAACTTAGGCAAACATCAGGTCCAGTGATGTCAGCAGGAGTTAAGAAGTGTGTCAGGCCTGGAGAGATTGCTCAGTGGTTAAGAGCCCTGACTACTCTTTCAGAGGACCCAGGTTCAATTCCTAGCACCCACATGGCAGCTCATGACTGTCTGCCTGTAATTCCTGTTCCAGGGGGTCTGACCCTTTTCACAGAATCATACATTCAGGCCAAATGCCAATTCCCATTAAAGGATAAAAAATGTATAATTATAATTCCAGTTCAACATTCACTAAATATTAGTAATATATATCTTAATTCTTTACATTATCTATTTATAGCAGTTTTTACCTCCCAAATTCATTATAAATCTTTGTCAATGATGTTTGATTTAGTACACTTATCATTGCTACTGTCATAGGCATTTTATCAGATTAGGTCCTTGTAGCACAACGCTGTCTAAGGACATGGTCAGTTAAAGAGAAAGTCTCTGTGTTACCTCTTATTTCAGCATTAAAAGGCTCAGTCCCCCAGGTGGGATTGGGGTTGGTAAGTCCATCCTACCTATTGCTTTAAATAGCAAGTAAAACATGGCCATGTATATGCCCATTTTAATATGTAAGTGGTCACATTTGGCCAATATTACAAAGGAATATTATACTATTATGCAAACCATATATTTAAAAATTTACATTTTCTACTTTTCTTATTTTTGCTTTATGGAGAGTAGAGTTTTTTCATGCAATATTTTAGGTTTATATATTTTTTCAGTTCCTCCATTTCCACCGAAATCCATACTCTTTCTCTCTTTCTCAGAAAACAAATGGTATCTAAATAGTAATAATAAAATCAGATAAAGGATGAACAAATGGGGCCTCTGGCACTGGGACCAGGATTTATCCCTAGTGCTTGTACTGGCTTTTTGGAGCTCATTCTCTTGCAGATTAGATATAGGGGGGATACCCTTGGACCTGCCTCAAATTAATGTGTCAAACTTCACTGATTCCCCATGGGAAGACTTATCCTCTCTGAGTAGTGGATGAGGGATGGTATGGGAAGGAGGTGGGGGGAGCAGGGGGAGGGGAGGGAGTGGGAACTGGGATTGGCATGTAAAAAATGAGAAAAGATTGTTTTAAAATAAATGATAAAAATATAAACCAGAATATCACAAATTCCACTTTTAAAATAAGGATTTATTTTCATTTATGTGTAAGGAAGTGTTCTTCATATGTTAGTGTCCACGTGTGGTGGTTTGAATAGGTATGGCCTCCATGGACTCATGTGTTTCAGTGCTGGGCCTATAGGGAATGGCACTACTTGGAAGGGTGGTCCTGCCAGGGGAAGTATGTCACTGTGGGGCAGGCTTTGAGGTCTCATGTGCTCAAGCTATACCCAGTGTGGCACACAGTCTCCTTCTGCTAGCTGTGGATAAGTATGTGGAACTCTGTTCCTTCTGCAGAACCATATCTACCTGCATGGCACTCCCTATGATGATAATGGACTAATCTCTGAAATGGTAATCCAGCCCCAATTAAACGTTTTCCCTTACAAGAGTTGCTGTATGTTTGTACATATGTATGGAACATGTGTGTGGGAATTATGCCAGGCTGTTTGAGGACAATGGATCCCATGGAGACGCAGTTTTAGACAGTTGTGAGTTGATAAACATGGGGTCTCAGAAGTAAGTTTAGGTCCTCTGGGTGAGCAACACATGCTCTTCAAGGATGAGTCACTTTTCCAGTCCCACAACTGCCAAATTTGGAGTGCTTCCTTATTGTTACAGGGCCAGTGCACTTACAGCTTATAATAATTTAAATGCTGTGTGGTTATACTGTAATGTGTGCAAAGTCCTCAAATACCCTGTAATAAAATGGAGGAAGTAACAAGGTACATTCTGTGCATATAACACCTTCCCAACAACAAGTGCACAACACTCGTTAAATGCTTTTCTTTCTAAACACAATGTTAATAACAAAGTTATTAATCAAAATCACCACCCACGATTTGGCACCTTCCCTGTGTATTTGTGTCACTGCTGACTTCAGAGATGAGCTAGAGCCATCAGGACAGCTTCAGTGTCACACAGGTGGTCTCTGCAGTCACACCCGAACAGCATGTGACCATCTTCTGTATCTCACCTTCTGTGGAATCTGGGCGAGGCCTGCTGCAATCACATTGGCCCTTTCTTCTGTTAGGTTACCCACCATGGACCCCAGGGAAAACACTACAACGCCATGGTCTCCTGAAGACTGGACGAAGTCTTCTATTTCCTGTTAATGAAATATCAACCTATCACAAAGAGAAGCAACATCGAATCTCCTGCATCAAAAGTGACACCACCATCCCCAGGAAGAAGCCTAGCAATATTAGAAATGTTACAGGAGTGGGCCTTTAAAACTATTCTCAAAACAAAACAAACAAACAAAAAACTATTCTCATCCACACATAAGATGTACAGTTGTAACCATCGGGAAGGTTACCACTGTGTGTTACACATATTCACATTCATACAAAAAGTTTTAGAACTTTGAATTTACTATCAACAAAAGTTCTTTCTCCCTTCCCTTTGGTTACCATGCACCTGTTTTCTGTTTCTATAATTTTGACCAGTCTCGATAGTTTGCATAGGAATTTCTTCTTATTTCATTTCTGTCTTGTTCAGTGCTGAGTTTACTTTGTGCACTGTCATTAAAAGTCACACAATACGTCTCTATACTGATACTGTAGGTTTTAAAGACTTATCCTCAGGCTCAGCACATCCTTTAAGTCTTCGGTCTCACTCCCTCCTATCTCTCCTGCTGACATTGCCATTCCCTTAATGTAAAGAAAGTATCTCTTGTATAAGGGTTATCTTGCACAGAACTTAGCAATCTCTTTGCTTTTAGATTTTTTAATTACTATATGTACCTTGCTTAGCTTTGTAAAAAGGCACAGTATCTTTTGGTTAAGATCAGATTGTATGTGGCTGTCCTTGCAGAACTAAGAGGGGAATCTCCAGAGACTTTTTTTCTAGAGCAGAAAAACTTTCACTTTTCTTGCATCATGAAATGTTATGATAGTTAAAATCGCAAAGCATTCCTCTGAACCTTCAGAAGGCTATCATCCTATGAGCTTACACAATTCACTTGCAATCATTAACTAAGGGCAGCTTTTAGTGATCACAGAGACACTGAGTTTTCTTCACTGAGCAGGCCTGCTTCCTATCTGTGCTCCATCCCTCTTCTTCACTTTCACTGCCAGGCCTCCTGGCCATTCCTCACTGTAATGTTTCCATAGTTTGGTTGCTTGCTCACAGTGTGTCTTCGAAGTAGAATTGCTGGTGTTCTGGGGCAAGCCTGTCCACACTTTGTTTCTCTGTATACTCAGCAATTTCCTGTGGGGTGCCTGTCACTTGTCTGTATGTTCTGCATGAATCACTGAGAATTTCTACGTGCTGAGTAGTGCTCTAACTGACTTGTGCTCACATGTACCTCAGAGCTCCATAAAGGAAATTCAGACTCTTGTGATAGAATAGGTACAGTTGTTTCTACTGGTCAGTTTCTTTATCTAATTTATTGTGACACTCTCGAGATTGACACAAACATTCCGAGGGAATGAAATTTATCACTCCTGCCAAATATGCAAGGGTAAGAGAAGCAAGGAAACAGGAATATATCTACCTTAGGCAGAGACTTGGCAGGCCTGCAGTGCAGTCCTCCAACAAAATCAAAATTTGGTAAGACAGGGTGAGGAAATTCCAAATCCCAGTAAGTTCGAATGAGCCATACATCTGCCTTCCCCATCATCTCCAGGAGTGTCGTGGGTCTTCCTGAAGAGGAATCAGGACAGTGAAGGTACAGCAGTTGAGAAAAACATCAGATGAACATGAATATGCCAGGCAGTCTTCTGAAAGCACTTGTCATAATGAAGCCAGAATTGTGGGGCTGGGATTGTGTGTGTGTGTGTGTGTGTGTGTGTGTGTATGTGTGAGAGAGAGAGAGACTTGTGAGAAGACAACATATCTTTAACACACCTTTGATAGGAGATGTCATGTATATATGTTTCTCATACTGGTTAATGAATAAAGCACTGTTGACCAATAGGAAAGCAAGATAGGCGGTACCTGGAGACAAGCAGGTAAGAGGAAGTAGTAAGGAGGAGTGAAGATGGAAAGACTGGGGAGAACAGAACTTCTGTTCCTCCACTCTCGGTAGACATACAAATATAGGATAGATGATAGAATAGTTTCTTTTAATCTTGCTAAATGTTAATGGACTAAATATTGTTAGATTCTTACTTGAAAACTGTTGTGTTATATATATATTACTATGTTAAGGTTAAAACCCTTCTTTTTATTTTAGAAAGAAAAAAGGAGATGATGGGAGATGTCATTCTGTAAATATGTTTCTCATACTGGTTAATGAATAGAGCACTGTTGGCCAATAGGAAAGAAAGATTGGAGGGACTAGGAGATAAATAAGAGAGAAAGCGAAAGGAGGGGTCAAGATGGAGAGACTGGGCAGACGAGACGCTGGCCCCTTTCCCCAGTAAGAAGACTACGTAAGACTGTGTGGAGATTAATAGAAATGGGTTAATACTTAAGACAGAGCTAGCCAATAAAAAACAAGTAACTGGCCAACAGAATTATATCAAATACAGTGTCTCCGTGTGTTAATTGGGGCTGGCGCGGCGGCGGGACAAGACTGGTGGCGGGCGGAAAAACCCTACTCCTTACACACCTTGGAAATTCATTATTAACAAATACTGATATGCCACTAAAGTATAATGAAATGGCATTATATAAAATCGAGTTTGTCACACTAAAGGAAACACCTTCCTTGGAACTCTCCATCTAGTTTGCCCTGCTCGAACCTTGATGTGTGTTTCTCTAAGGGAACTGAGAATTTTATACTACTTTGTTTTGTTTTGAGATTTTTTTCTGATGGATCCCAGAGTGGTCCCTATGCCACTATGTAGTCAAAATTGACCTTGAACTACAGATCCTCTTCCAAAACATCTCAACTGCTGGAATTACAGGTGTGTGCTACCATGCCCAGTGTAAACATTTGAGGGGATTCTGTTTCAGGATTTCATTTTCAGACAGGGTCTCACTATATCCTCCCGGCTGATCTCCGATAATCTTGATTATGCCTAAGCTCATTGTCCTGGTACTGCTCTTAAATTATGAATGAATATATGTATAAATATGTTTGCAAATAATAAGTGACAATAAGTTCTAGAATATAGAGACACTTATTTACTACATTTTTCCCTTAAAAAGACACCATTTAAAACTCTAAAACTATTAATTTCCATGTTGACACTTGAGCTTTGTAGGATTTTAAAACCTATTTATTTAATTGTGTGTGTGTGTGTGTGTGTGTGTGTGTGTGTGTGTGTGTGTGTGTGTAGAGGTCACAGGTCAGAGGACATTTGTAGGAAGGCATTTTTGTCTTCTCACTACTTACATCCTGTGAATGGGCATACAGTTTTCTGGTTTTTGGTAGCATGTGCCTTTATCTTGCAGGCACTATTAAATAAGGTTTAAAAGTGAAGAATTTTAAACACCTAGTGACTGAATATGGATTCTCTAAAATCCTGCATTCATAAACTTGCTGTGTCTAAGACAGAGATGGTGTATGTGAAAAAATTAATTATGTGAAGCCAGAAAATATTCAAACTTTAAGTTATCTATACAGCATGATAAGTTCTCCATGCTGTATAGATAACTGTGGTAGAAATTCGTGTCAGTCCTTAATCTTGGTATCTGTTACTCTAGAAAACATTGAATGAGTTTAAAATAACTATTTTAGAGGTCATGCAAATGGGCCAATGGGTAAAATGCTTGCCATGCAAGGTGTCAAACACACTCCCATCCTCAGAATATGTAAAACTGTAAAGAGAGAATAGGATAGACAGATTGTTCTTGGAATTCCACGTGTATTATCACAACACTCAGCCTCTCAATCAGTGCACAAATACATAATAATAACAAGGTTGGTGATGGTGATGATGATAATGACAAATACCACTCAGGTAAAACTGTTCTAAAAGGTGAGATAAAATAGTAAATGACTATGTACTTGCTTAGAGAAACTCACAAAGCATTGCTTGGTGAATATGTACCATACTGAAGTGTCCTCTGCAACTCATAGCCAAGGCTTTTCAATTTGCCACTGGCACAGAGGCTTTTCCACAATGCTTTGAATTTGGCAGATAATTTTACATACTTTTCACCACTTTGCTTAGGAGAGATAAATCCTTCTGCTACCCATGCTGCTGTTTTGAGTTCACTTTCAGTGACCCAGCAAATTGAGAAGGCAACAATCCCGACTGAACAGGAACTTACCTAACACTTCACTGTAAAACTGATTCCACTTCTTCTCATTAAATGTTTGGAACCAAAAGTCAAAACAAAGCCTATAGATTACACTTTGCACTCTCTCCATGAATGTCATCCGATCACTCAATTCTGACAAAGCAGGTGGCACGTAGGAAGGAGGTAGTGGCAGTCCTCCACTGTACTTTTCATATGTAGAGCCAGGAAAGAAGCGAAGACTGAACACAAGTGGTGTCTGGAGAATCTCAGCCAGCAGGTCACCACAGGGTATGAAGGGATCTGCCAGGATGACATCAAAGCTTGAATTTTGTAGGTTTGCCATGAGTTCCTTGTTGAAAACGACGTCCTTGCAGAGACTCTCACCAAATTCTGAGTCTAACCAAAACAGTTCTTGCAGCATTAAAAAGTATCTCCAAAATGATAGCTTTGGCAGCTCATAAACGTGTTTATTGATGGATTCTAAGAAAATTTCCTCTATATCAGCCATGGAATATGATGTAGGGTATGTTTCAAATTCAATAGCAGATGTGTCCTCAACCTCATAAGAAAAGGAAACTGAAGGTTTCAGAACAGTCACTTCATGACCCTTCTTCACAAGCTCATCTAGGATTGTCTTCAAGTTGAGCCAATGGCTGAACTCCACTGGCCACACCAGCACCTTCCCACAACTCCCAGATCCAAAGAATCCACTCAGCTGTAGCAGGAGCAGGGCTGCTGTCATTTTTACAGACATCTTGGTTAAATTCAGAGCTGCGTTTCAAATGGTGATCGCTCTACTCTTGCAGCTAGAAAAGAGTAGTAATTAGTTAAAGTGTAACTTCTACCCACAAAAGCAAACATACATGAGATAGCCACAGCCTCTGGGTTCCAAGTGCAAAAATCAGAAGGCAGATGTGAACTTGTGAAATGATTCCTGATTCTCAGTGAAATGACCTTGAATGTATAATGTGCTTGGGGAGTAGTGGAAAGATCTCTTTCTCCTTCCCCCACCTTCTAATGTAGCTTCTTTTAAAGAAAGACATATCTTGAGTCACGTCTTTATATATATATATCACAGTTCAGTGTGTCTTCATATGAATCCTGGCAATAGTGATAATTTACCATCCATTTAATGATTTTAGATATATGACTCAGAGGTTAACAGTACAACCTCAGAATTCTAAACACTGCAATTAAATTTAGAGCCCATTTTTAAAATTATTTTTTCTTATTTTACATACCAATCCAAGTTCCCTTTCTCTCCCATCCTCCCATTCTCCAGACCCCCTCTGCCATCCCAATCTCCACCCACTCCACAGGGAGGGTGGTACCTTCCAGGAGGGATCATCAAAATCTGTTAAGTCATTTGGAGTAGGGCCTAGGCCCTCCCTCCTGTCTCTAGGTTAAGGGAGTATCCCTCCATGGGGAATGTGCTCCCAAAGTCCTTTCATGCACCAGGGATACATCCTGGTTCTACTGTCAGAGGTCCCTTAGACTGCCCAGGCCTTCTAACTGAGACCCACATTCAGGGGGTCTGGGTCAGCCGTTTTATCCTAGATAGAAGCCCTGTTCCCTTAGCCTTTCCACTGGGTCCAGCTCTGTACAACCAGGACTCTGCTTTCCTGTCACTAGTCAGCCTGCAGGAGTGAGTATATTCTAATGTGACCCTTCTCCCCTCCTTGACTACCAGACTATTGAAAGAATGGACCCCAAGAAATTAGAAGAAATGTCTGATGCTTGGGGGCACCCAGGAGGAATCGGTCAGAGGGCCATTTGCAAGCTATTGTAGATAAAGTTTTCTAAAGAGCCTAGGAGCTACAATAATGATGGGCAAGGGACTACACTATGGTGGACTGCTTAGCTATGCACATGGCTTGTCAGAATCCCAAAGATGGAGTTGAGGGGGTGACTACTGGCTACTGGCTTTCTCTGGTTCTCTTCCTAAAGTGATCACAATGAATACATTTGCTCCTTTTTTTTTCTGCATTTCACAATTAATTTGGCTCCTTTGATTGGCTTATTTGTGTGTGTGTGTGTGTGTGTGTGTGTGTGTGTGTGTGTGTGTGTGTAACCTGGCTTACTGGGACACAGGCTATGTGACCCCTTAGTCATGAAACACCCTTGTTTCCTTATTGTGGACTTTTTTGTGAGGGTGGTATAAAATGGGTGGTGCTATGTGACTAGCTTTGATGTGTATAAGGTTTTAAAGTACTGTCATATTACAGGACATAGACAGTTTTGTTCTATGTTAAATCTATTTTGTAACAGAAATTTCTCATTTCTAATTTCACATTAGTTTTCCCCAATTTTTGACTACTATTATTTTTTATTAATATTCATGTGCCATATTTTTGTCCTGTTCTACTTTTTGGTCTCAACCCTTTCCTATGTCCATGTATTTTTGGCAGACATCACCAAGAAATAATTCCTTATTTTCATTATTCCCTGGTTGAGGCAAAATATGATTAGAAAAAAGATCAGGGTGCCTCCCTGCTTAAGTTCCTGTGGTGTCCTACACACAGCACCAAGCAATCCATAAGTTCTGTGTAAGTCCCACAAGGTAAGAGGACTGTGCAAGCTGGGAGAGGAAAAGAGGAAATCGGATGGAAAGACCATCATGCTCTTGGGTAGAAGTGAGTTTATCCTGACCTGTGTCCGGAATGGGAATCCTACATAGCATGAGGGCAGAACTGTTCCTGGTGGGCAGCGAAGATAGACACATACATCCGGTGGAATTCCTGGCCAGTCCTTGGGGAGAGCACGGAAGTGGGGTGCAGCAGGGATCCCAGGAGCTGGGCCGGCAGGAAGAGTGGGCGGAGACTTCGCGCTGGAGGCCCGGGAGTTTAACTGGCTTTGGGCGGAACCTGGGGAGATAGGGACCCACCCTTCCTGCTCCTGAGTCCTTGTCCCACTTCCCTGTGAGCGGTTCTTGTGTGTCTGATGTGTATCTACATGTCCTACTGATCAGGATTTTTATAGTCTGAGGAAGTGACAGACTGTTTCCAAGGAGCTGCTCAGGCTGCTATACACAGCAGGGTACAGCAGTGTCCTGAGGTCTCTTCTTGTTCTCTATTGTGTCTGTCTGTCTAGGTTATAACCAGGTAAGAGGAGGAAGCCCTGTCTCACTGTGGTTTTCAACTGTTTTGAGCTGAGCTTGGATGCTGTAACTCTTTCATGGAAAGAAATGTCCATTCAGATCCTCTGTCCATATTTTATGTCTGAATACATTGTGGCCTCAGGTCAGGTTTGTTTTGTTTTTAATATGGAGTCATGTCATCTGTTTTCCCTTACACATTATGGAGTTACAACTTTTCTGTATACAGTGCTTAAGTCGGTGTGTGTGTGTGTGTGTGTGTGTGTGTGTGTGTGTGTGTATGTTTTCAAATGCTTTCTCCAGGTTTGTGAGTTTTTTTTTTTTTTTTTTTTTTTCCGGTACTATCAATGATGTTTTTTGTTTTGTTTGTTTGTTTCCAAGACAGGGTTTCTCTGTGGCTTTGGAGCCTGTCCTGGAACTTACTCTGTAGACTAGGCAGGCCTCGAACTCACGGAGCTCTGGCTGCCACTTCCTCCCAAGTGCTGGGATTAAATGTGTGCGACACCATGCCTGTCCAATGATTTTTTTTTTTATTTAATGCAGGGAAGATTTCATTTTTATGATTCCAATTAATGAAGTTCAGCTTAGCTACTTCTTTCTGCTTTTGAGGATAAACAGATTTCATGTTCATTTAAAAATATATTTGCACACTTTTATCAACATATTTATAATTGTTACATTTACTTCTTAGAGCATTTTAAAAGTTTATTTGTAAGTGGTAAGAGTTTGAGTTCATTTTTAATTTTTCATGCCAATAGTGTTCTTAGCAGCACTTGATTAAAACAAAACAAACATTTTGAAAATGCCACATGAATTTTATGTTACCCATTATATATCAAGATAATAATTTATATATGTTTTGGAAACTGCTTAGAAAGGAAATCTTTAACAAAATCTATGTATAGGATTTTCAAGGTTTATGTAGCATTTAATATTCCCAAAGATGTCATCATTTTAGTTGGTTTTACGATATTTAGAATACCCTAACTGATAAAATAGTATGGACTTAGTACTATATATAATTACAATACTTAAATTTGAACCTGCATATTCATTTTAATTGTATATGCCAAAAATAATTTTGGCACATAAGCAAAATAAATTTTAAATAGACATTACATCAGAAGATCAGGGCTGTATCCAGGTACTTGTAGCTCATTCCTAACAGGAATTATCTCTTTGATTTCTCTGAGAGCATATTTATGTAGACTTCCAAACTGCTGGGTGACAATCATCTCTAATACCTCTAGTACTGGAGTTCCCACATAACTAACATTTCTTTCATTGTTTATGTTTCCTCAATATTTTTGTAATTAGATATTAAAAATTTCGAATGATATCCAATATTCTACCTGATATGTTTCTAAATGTTGAAATAATGTTTATGTTGGTTTTAAAAAGAAGTCACAAATTAAAATATCACGTCTTTTCAAAAAACCAAAACAAACAAATAAAGACAAATCCTGCAACTTTTCCATGGACAGTTTTGTGAACTTTGTCAAATAGCAACCAAATTAAAGAAAAAATTCTCTATAATTTTAGCAATTTCACACAAAACATAATAAAGCATAAGAAATAATAAAAAGACTCACCCATTAATAAAAAAAGCTGTTGATAAATGTTAAAAAGACAAATGCTAGACAGTCTTTATTTCTTTATATTTGAAAAACATTCTGAAATAAAGTTATGTGTTTTATGAAATGATACTTCATTTTTGCTAAGGTAAATGGAGGGAGTCAGAAGTGTTTATTATTTGCAAATGAGTACATTCCAAATTAGAGCATTTTTTTCATTTTGATAAAATACAAACAATATATAGGGAAGTGCCACTACATTACTTTGCAATCCAGAGAAACAAAATTTATGGATCTTGGAGCTAGCAAAACTCAAAGGCTGAGTGTTTGTTAAGAAAGAAAACACTTGGGTCTGGAATTTGATCTTCAACACCCATAGGAATTCTGGGAGTGTGCCCATGTGCCTGAACCCTCAGTGTTGGGTGTCAGAGGGGGATGGAATCCCATTAAGGGCAAGTTATTTCCCTCTGGTTTAAAGAGTGGAATCTACCTCTGAGTATGGACAGGCCATCATCTCCTCCCTTAAGAATTGATCCAGTTGGGTTGCTCAGTCACCTGGCTAAGAACCTACCCCTTAGGAAGGCCAGTTCATCATAAACCAAGTTCAAGTGTTGGGAGGAGTAATTATCCCTTTAATGTAAACATTTCCTTCCCAGATTTCATGCTGTTTGTGCAGTCCAGCAGCAACCATGTCCTATGCCTGCTGGCCTCCTCAGGTCCTTACTGAGAAAAGTGTAGCTTTTCTGTTTTCTGCCCTTTGTCTTTTCCTTTCAGTTCCTTGCCAAAGCTTGTGCATGCTTTTCTTGACCTTCCAGATTTCTTATTTTTATTCCTAAGTTATCTCTTCACCATTCTACCTTAAGGTTCCTTACAAATTGTATAAGTTTTCTTTTTCTTATTTCTACTTTTGTCTCCTAAAGCTACAACATGATCACACACACACACACACACACACACACACACATACACACATGCACACACACGAGTCAAAAGAAATCTGTGTACTTAATTTTTTCAGGAAAGCAGTTAGGTAGGCAAAATGTTACATAAAGTCTTCCCAAAGGCAAACCAAAGCAATGGTCAATTAGAATTGTTCTCTGCCATCCATACAGATGTCCT